TTACTTAATTAATGAGATGGGATAAAAGTACAAATATGCATAACTTTTAGCATTTCATAAGATACAGAGGCAAAAACTCGGAAATAAGAAAAACCATTTAAAATGCAACCTCTGTGCAATGCGGGAATTGCGGTTTCGTGTTACGCACAACGTAATAATGCTAATTGCATATCGGTTTGCCTTGCAACTTGGCTAAATGGTGGGGCACTCTTCGGATTGGCAAGAGTTTAAATTATATTTTGCAATGAGCTTCTGCAAAAACGTTATTACCATAGAGCATGGAAGTCTTTAAAGAATTATTCAAATGAATGAATGACAGAAAAAGTAGTTCATTTAATTATTTACAAAAATGATTTAAAATAACAATTAAGTTATTGGCCGATTTTATAATGAAAAGCTAAAAGAATATTTGCCAATTATGCAAAAAGTTTTTTTTCGCAAATTAAATATTTTTTTATTCACATAACATGGGCAATTACATCATTTGTCGACTGCACATACGTCAACATGCGATCCTTAAGAGAAATATTCATTTGTAAAACTTTCAATAGGAAAATACACAATGCATTTGATAAGTAACATGTATTATTTCAAGAATTCAAAAATCATAGTTAAAATATTGGCTGGTTTTAAAATGAGTAGCTAGAAACATCGTTGTCAATAAATATTAAACTAGTTAATGGCATTAAAAAATAAGTTTTATTTTTGCGCAATGCATTTAATAAGTTAAATGATTTTTGAATGAAAAGCGTTAACAATCTTTGCCAATTAAGCTAAAAGTTTTTTCATCTTGCCAAAGGAATATTTTTTCATTCGCAACTTTCTCTTATAAACATGTTCAATTCAATCATATGTCATTTCCAGATACACCGACATCTTTACCATTCGCCATTACTAATAACTTTTTCCTGAAAAGATTTGAATCAGGCCGTCAACAAGACTGTCAATGTCCGAAGTTCTTCTTACAAAAACCGGAGAAAAGTGAAAGAAAAGGCCAGAAGTGTGAGACAATAGCACTTGAAAAGTTCCGCATCATTACTCGGGTGTTTTGTGGTGATTGGTTTTGGTATTGGGATGATTTCTCTGACCCCGTCCTCGAACAAACAAAAACTTAACCGAGATTCAAGATTCTGGGCAGAAATGACAGTTTAGTTGACCCCTCAGCCTCAGACACTTGAAGTGTCGGGCAAACAAAATCATTTGCCGACGTGTTTTGTTTGGCTAAACGAACTTTCTGCTTCTCCGCCAACTAAAACAAAAGAAGAAAACTATCTTACATTTCAATTAAAGTTCGCCGAGAGTTCCTTTTTCGCTGTTCATTCCCTTGATTAACTGCAAATGCAAACAGTGGAATTCGGCTGCTGCTTCATTTATATCTAATTAGGTGCAATTGTTTGCCGCTTTACTTTTAGCTCCGACTGTGACGCGCACACACCCGGCGTATGCGCATTATAAAAATTTATGACTCATAGAAATTAAATGGCTGTCATTCGTATGTATTAACCAAGCGAAATTAGTTTGTCTTAGCAGACCTCGGTGGGTTGAGGGACAAAAAGTGCACACAAAAAAAAACCATGTAGAATTAATTATTAGAATAAACTGAACCTATATTAATGAAAAGGAAATTTATGATCTAAAATTAAGAATATTCAAACAAACAAAATAAATAAAATGGAAATTAAGAACTTTGATGTTTCGATTAACTTGCACAACAAATAAAACATGAAAATATAAACTTAGGTTTCTTATGATTTTAGTTATGATGTTACTATAAACTTCTGCATGAATGTACCTAATGTAGTTTTTAACTATTCAATGACCCAACAATTTTTTTTTTTAGTGTGTGGTTGGGATTGCGAACTGGGTGCGGTTTTCTGTTTTTTTTTTTTCTGGGTTCCCAGGAAAACAAAGGCGACGAATAAACGCGGAAGATGCATATCAAATCGTTGCCAGCATAAATCAAAGGTAACCCAAATACATAAATATCGCGTAATAAACATGTTTATGGGGGTGGACTTCCAAGTGGCATAAAGACCTTATCTAAGCGATTCCATTTGTTCATTTGTAGATGTACGTCTTCTCCCTTAAAATCGCCTTTTCAGTCGTTTTCCGGCGCCGCTAAATAATGTATAAACTTGGCCTTTAATTGAACTTTTCGCAGATAAGCAGTCAATAAATCCGAAATGTAAATTGTATTTGCTTTCACGCGGCTTTTCGCTTTTTGCTATTTATTTTTGTTTTTGTAAGCTCTGCCAACGAAAATTTGGCAAGGTGCTGGTTTTTCTTAAATTTTGTAGACACCTTAAATCAACCCATAAAAAAAATAGTTCACTAAATTGTATACATATGTTTTTGTAAAATATTCAGGTCTTTGTTTACAGCCGCTCGTCGACATCGTTTTTGTTTAATGCTGTCGCTTCGCTTAATTGTAAGCAAACTTACTCAATGGACTGGATGGATAGATGGACGGATCGTGTCCAGAAGCACGCCCCGTTTATATATTTAGATTGCAAGCGATAGACAAATTCAGCGACGGGGCCGAAAGGCTACGTAAATTTTCCATAAGCCCACTAGTTTGTGTTCCCCCCAAGAAACTACCCCGATCATGCGGCTTATATTAATGGGCCATTTAAGCCGGGCAGTTAGCTCCTCCAGCTGCCAAAAACCAATAAATGCCACGCGCATCCGTTGCACTTTGGGGTTCCATTTCCCCTTCCTTCCCAGAATATTCAACTTATGTACTATATATTTCAAGTGTCTGTCCTTCGGTTTGAGTTGTTGTTTCGGTGCTTTTTCCGGTTTTTCATTATCTTGGGAGTTTCTGGCTTGTGGCTAAGTGTGCAGCATGAAAAGGGTGTTACCCAAATCCCCGAATAAAACATGAGCTCAAGATTCTGGTTCCGACTATAACCTTTATTGCTACATACAATAAATTGAAATGAAATATATGCAACGTTTATATTGCACGGGAAAAAACAGTTAGGTGATTTCAAAAAGATATAAACCATATTATACATAATTATTTTTGTTAAATATATTTTGCCTGGGATCTGTGATGTTTTACCAGTTGTTGTTGTATGTTTTTAATATTAAGGAAGAGAATTCAAGAAAGAAGAATTGAACACCATTTTGATTGTTCTACATATGATACATATTTCATTGAATCACAGTTTTCTTTATAATATTTCTTACACATCCTTACACAGCCTTTAAAAAAAGCTTTGCTTAGGTTGTTCCCATAAAAATAAATTAATAACAATTGAAATTCCTAGAACCCGATTATTCTTATATTATTAGAATCTTGATCGACTCTATATTTTTCATACCAGAAGGCTTTTGAAACTACTTTGATGCAACTTTTAGTGTAGTGCATAATCCCTAGTTGTAATCCCAAGTTGGAATGCAACGCATATGATAAACAAAAATCAAATTGAAATGGTAGCAAACATAACTGTTCCAATGATGGGAATAGTTATTCAGAATTATTCATTAAAATATCGTAACCGAACATGAGAGTTCAATACACAATCAACAGGAAATCTATCAACATGCAAGGGCAAAAATTGCATTAAAATGGAAATTTCCAGGCGCTGGTTATGAAAATTGGCAACCCATATTCAGGATTTATGGAGCAACAAAAGGCGTATGCAAACGGAAAACGAAAGCAAAATAAACAGCACAAAAGCGGAACGGAAGCTGAAACAGAACCCCAGGAAAAGGGGCTTGTTTTGTCGATTTGGATGTAAATGCACATAAGCTATTTCCCCCACTCACGATTTACTGCACTGCCACTGCAGTTTAGGAGCAGTCAAGGGCCGGAAAATCGTATTTTTTACGGAATTTTTTGCAGATTCAAATGTCGATAGGCAGACAGAAAATTTATTGAGCTCACATCAATTTTGCGGGATAATAAAGCGGCCATATGCAGACTCAAATGTCAGCTGTGTCAGAAAGCCAGGATAAAGCAATTACGCGAGATTAACTGATCAATTTTTAATTTGCCATTTCAGACACCGCCGATAAACACATTTACATCGATCTTCAATTATTATTTATGGTGCTTACATTTGCGTTAAAGTGTTTCCGTGTTTTCAAGCGATTCCAGCCATCCCATTTGGGACGGCACTTAAACAGGATATGGATACGGATACGTAGAGCACATGCCACACACACCGCACACTTGGGCCAAATTTTGTTTACACACCGCAATGGCACAACACAACACACACGGGAAGAATTTAATTTAAATTTATTCGATTCTTTTTAGCGGGCCAAAAGCACTTGAAACGCCATAGCCGGATATTGGCATCAACACATCCGAAAAATTTCGATTTTGAACTTGAACTATCCGTCGGAACCGAGGAGAGAACGCATGCGACTTGTTGGCGCGCGCGAAAACGTTTGGCTTGCCTTCGAGTTTGCCTGGCTGCCTGACTGCATGTTGGCCAAATTGATCCGGAGATTGGTTGGGGCGCCAAAATGGGGCGTCTGTTTCGGGGGAAACCCTGCTCTGTTTGGTTTTGAAATGCCGGTTTTTTTGCACGCAGTCGCAGCAACATGTTGCTGGCGCAAATGTTGCACAGTCTTGCTGGCGAACCTATCTCGAACTTGGCATTGATCGCTGACTTAATATTGTTTTTGATTTTAAAAAAGTATTACTTATTTTTATACAAATTTAAAATTACAATTGTTGAGCCTCTCTAACGCCTGATTTTGAATTTACCGCCCTACAATTAATGTTCTATCGATATAAGGCGAGGCATGCCGGCTATTTTGTCATCGATAAATTCACACTCTCTCTTTTAAAGATGGAAGTGACTTCTCAGTGATGGGTATGAATATAGTCACTTTAAGAGCTGTCACTGTCGCTGTCACTTAAATTGCTTACAAAACAAATACACCAAATTTTGAAGCAAGCAATATGTTTATTTCAAATAAGTTTTATTTTGTCAATGAAATACAAGGATTTATTACCAGTGTCACTTTGTAACGTAAAAATAAACAAACCACCGCCCCGTGACTTTTCACAATATTCATCGGCAACGAAAACACATGCAAACATCGCCCATCTCTAGTCCTCTCTTTTTGATGTCTTGTGCATTCGACATCGTTTAGTTTTGCTGTAAAAATAGTAAGTTTATTGTGAAATATCCAGCACAAAGTTGTGATAAACACTAAGAAGAGAAGGCGGTGTACCGATTTCTATAAAGGTTATAAATGAGACGACCGATAATCCGGCGAAAACCTTTGGCAGAAATTTTTGCAAAACGCCATGTTGGCCGCTCAAACATAACCTCAACAAAAGCAGCAACTTATGTGGCCCCAAAACTAATACATTTTAAATTGCAGGCACAGACAAACGGCCGCGTAGTAAGTCAACGAACATGTCGCGTTTCTTTGCCAACGGGTCCGACTCGGAGTCCGAGTCCAGCGAGGAGGAGATCCAAGCGACCAACTTCAACAAAGCCAGCGCCTTCGTAAGTACCGCCCAAATGTGAGACTTCCCTGGCTTAAGCTTTTAGTAATCCCCTTTCTTCCCATTCAACAAACAGCAATTCAGCGACGATGAGGAGGAGGTCAAGCGCGTGGTGCGATCCACCAAGGAGAAGCGGTACGAGAACCTCACCAGCATCATTAAGACCATCCGCAACCATAAGAAGATCAAGGATATCCCCAATACGCTGACCAGCTTTGAGGATCTAACGCGAGCCTACCAGAAGGCGTTGCCCGTCATCTCGAAGGAGGAGAACGGCATCACGCCGCGCTTCTACATCCGCTGCCTCGCCGAGCTGGAGGACTTCATCAACGAGGTGTGGGAGGATCGGGAGGGCAGAAAGAACCTGTCCAAGAACAACTCCAAGTCGCTGGGAACGCTGCGCCAGAAGGTGCGCAAGTACATCAAGGACTTCGAGGACGATTTGTCGCGATTCCGCGAGGCGCCCGACCAGGAGAGCGAGGCCGAGGACGAGGTGGTGGCCCTGGACAGCGATGGCGGTGATGCAGGAGATGACAGCGATGTTGGCGTCAAGCGGGAGCCCACAGAAGCTGTTCCCAAGACGGCGAAATTGGTGCCTGCCAAGGCTGCGCCCGCCGACGACGATGATTCCGACGACTCCATCGACTGGGACTCGGATTCCGAGTCTGAGACCGAGTCCTCCGACGACGAGAACCAGTACCAGAACATGCGCGAGCGTTTCCTGAAGCGTACCACCGAAAAGGAGGACAAGGATGACGACAAGCGCAAGGACAAGCGCAAGGAGCAGAAGGTCAAGATCCGCAAGCGTGCCGAGGAAGATGAGGATGGCGAGTGGGAGACCGTTGTCAAGGGTCATGTGGTGGAGAAGCCCAAGATGTTCGAAAAGGATGCCGAGATCGATGTGCCCCTTGTGCTGGCCAAGCTCTTGGAGATCATGTCGGCCCGCGGCAAGAAGCGCACCGACCGTCGTTTGCAGATCGATCTTCTGTTCGAGCTGAGGGATATTTCCGATCAGCACAATCTGGGCACAGCGGTCTCCGTGAAGATCCACTTCAACATTATCTCAGCCATCTACGACTACAACCAGAAGATCTCCGAGCCCATGAAGCTGGAGCACTGGGCCCTGCTGTTGGAGGTGATGCAGAGCATGCTGAAGCTGCTGCTGGCTAATCCCGACATCATCATGAGCGAGTCTGTGGCCGAAGAGCATGAGGAGTACACGGCTGCTCCGTTCTACGTGCGAGGATGCCCACTGGCCGCCGTGGAGCGTCTGGACGATGAGTTCGTCAAGCTGCTGAAGGAGTGCGATCCCCACTCAAACGACTACGTGTCCCGGCTGAAGGACGAGGTGAATGTGGTGAAGACCATCGAACTGGTGCTGCAGTATTTCGAGCGCTCCGGCACCAACAACGAACGCTGCCGCATCTATCTGCGCAAGATCGAGCATCTGTACTACAAGTTCGACCCAGAGGTGCTGAAGAAGAAGCGCGGCGAGCTGCCAGCCACGACCACCACCTCCGTGGACGTTATGGACAAACTGTGCAAGTTCATCTACGCCAAGGACGACACGGATCGTATTAGGACGCGAGCCATCCTGGCGCACATCTACCACCACGCCATGCACGACAACTGGTTCCAGGCCCGCGATCTGGTGCTAATGTCCCACCTGCAGGACAACATCGATGCCGCCGATCCCGCCACCCGCATCTTGTACAACCGCATGATGGCCAATCTGGGTCTGTGCGCCTTCCGCCAGGAGAACGTGAAGGATGCGCACCACTGCCTAGTCGACCTGATGGTCACCGGCAAGCCCAAGGAGCTGCTCGCCCAGGGACTGCTGCCCCAGCGCCAGCACGAGCGGTCTGCCGAGCAGGAGAAGATCGAGAAGCAGCGCCAGATGCCATTCCACATGCACATCAACCTGGAGTTGCTCGAGTGCGTCTACCTGGTGTCCGCCATGCTGCTGGAGATTCCCTACATTGCTGCCCACGAGTTTGATGCCCGTCGCCGCATGATCAGCAAGACGTTCTACCAGCAGCTCCGCTCCTCGGAGCGCCAATCCCTGGTTGGTCCGCCCGAGTCGATGCGTGAGCACGTCGTGGCCGCCGCCAAGGCGATGCGCTGCGGCAACTGGCAGGCGTGCGCCAACTTCATCGTCAACAAGAAGATGAACACGAAGGTGTGGGATCTGTTCTACGAGTCGGACCGCGTGCGCGAAATGCTGACCAAGTTCATCAAGGAAGAGTCGCTGCGCACCTACCTGTTCACCTACTCGAACGTCTACACCTCGATCAGCATTCCCTCGCTGGCGCAGATGTACGAGCTGCCCGTGCCGAAGGTGCACTCGATCATCAGCAAGATGATCATCAACGAGGAGCTGATGGCCAGCCTGGACGATCCTTCGGAGACCGTGGTCATGCACCGCTCGGAGCCATCGCGCCTGCAGGCCCTGGCCATGCAGTTCGTGGACAAGGTCACCAACCTGGTGGACGTCAACGAGAAGGTGTTCGACATGAAGCAGGGCAACTTCTTCCAGCGCGGCAACATGGGCAACCGCGGCGACCGTGGCTACAACCGCAACCAGAACAACCAGGGCGGCAACTGGGGCGGCCAGCGGCGGGATAATCGCAACAACCGCAACCGTAACCAGCGTGGACACCACAAGAACCAGCAAGATAGGCAGCAGCAGCATCAGCAACAAGTCCAGACCATCGACGAGGAGTAGACGCATCCACATCCTCAGCCCAATTCTCTCCAGCGAGCGTTAGCTTAAACACCATAAACAGAACAAATTTGTAGCGCACTTCGACTATTAAAAATGGAATGGCCATGGACCACTCGTTGGGTTAAGTGCAGTCAGGCCTCCGATTCGGTTTACGACTGGATCGGAGGTCTGGTTCCATCATCCGTTGACATTGCATGTTGTTGTAGCCAAGTACCAGATGAATTTGTTTTAGCGCTCCATACGTTAAATGATAATATGATAACAACATTTTGTATGATCCCAAAACTCAAAAAACCTTAAAAAGAAGAGAAAGAAACCTAGTGGCTTTTATCAGGGGGTATTTAAAAGTAATCACTATTTCTAGTGATAAGAATATAATGTTTAATTTGTGAAGATCTTCGACTATAATGAAGTTAGAAAATTTGAATCTCGATGACAAGCTTAATTTTTCTGATATCGATATGCAATTTTCTCACATCTCTGGAAACCTTTTCTTCAGTATTACCGTTCCACGAACCTTTGTCACATTTTTTCGGCTCTCTCTTATTTAATAGGCAAATTATAACATAAAGTCAAACAAAGTTGAAATACAAATGAGCAGCGTTGGCGAGGATTGCAACGAGCTGAAGCAGCAGTACGACGCCTGTTTCAACAATTGGTTTTCTGAGCGTTTCCTAAAAGGTCAAACTGATGACTCAGCGTGCGCCCCAATATTCCGTATTTATCAGGAGTGCGTCAAGGTAAGACCTCGAGTTTTATCACTTAAAATGGGTGATAGCACCTTTCAAATTGCAGCGCGCCATCCGGGAGAAGAATATCAATCTGCAAGAGATCGACCCGATATATGAAACAGGTTCCGAGCACGACCAAACCACTAGCTCCACCGGAAATCAGCAGCAAAAGGCCAAGAGTTGACCCCAAAAGCCGCTCCACAAGAAGCCACAAAACTGGCGGCCGTATTAGCAATTTAACGCCATGGAAATCCTCGCCAGCGTGCCTTAGCATAAAGCATACAAGTTCGTAGCATTTTGACTGCTGTGATACAATGACCAAGGGAAACTGATTATTCAGTCACCAAACTGCCGCAATACATTTCTATTTATTAATAAATTAGTCGCGTTTAAATAAGTTTAAGATTCAAATTTCGATAATCAGTTTAATGTTAACGAAAATTTTATCGATTTGCTGCATTGCTCATCTCTAAAAACTTAATCTTTAGTATGACCTTTGCACAAACCTTCTGCACATTTTTTCGGCGTATTATTCAATAGACAAATTATAACTTAAAATCAAAAAAACTAAACTTGCAAATGAACAGCATTGGCGAGGATTGCAACGAGCTGAAGAAGCAGTACGACGCCTGCTTCAACAGCTGGTTCACGGAGGGATTTCTAAAGGGCAAAACGGATGATTCCGGCTGCGCGCCCATATTCCGGGTGTATCAGGAGTGTGTCAAGGTTAGATCGGGTATAGTTTCCTCAGCTTAAATGGTTAATCGAACCTTTGACCCTTAGCGCGCCATGCGGGAACAGAAGATTGAGTTGCGGGAGGTGGGAACGGAGTACTCCACGGGCTCCGAGTACGACAATGCGAACAGTTCCGCCGGAAAGGGACAGCCTAAGAGCAAGAGTTGACAAGTAACTCCTCTCCAGAATCCTGGCTACGGCCTTAGTTCCACAATTGGCCAGGAACAGGCTCCCAACAGTCTTACAGGACATCAGCGCCGGCACCATAGAGGGGGAACAGCCTAGGAGACGGCTTAATATCCGTGGACTATTACGTTCCAGAGGCAGCATTGTTTCAGCTCCAGACTCCCAGATTTAACACCTCATCTTATATAAATTGTGTAGTGAATGTTTTATAATTAAGTTCAAGCAGCCAACTAAAAGTGTTATATTCAAGCGGACTACGGCTTTTACTTAGTACTTGTGGATACATGCAATAAAATGTTAAATCAAATTCTTTTTAAATTAATTAAAACATATACAACTTAATGTCACCTCTTTTAATACATTTTAATCATCCTGTTATCTGTACGATGTGAATCCCAGCCTTAAGCAAACAGATACGAGTTCTTCCCAATTGGGAAAATCCCCTTTATGATCACTATCAAAGGAAATCTTACCTATAAAAACAGCATCTACAGACTAACCGGCACAATTCAAAATTGAGTTTCCAGCAGACAAGATGCAACTGCTGCCAATACTTGTGCTCCTGGCGCTGGTCATCTGTGCCGCCTGCAAGAACCACGAGGAATGGGGAGGACATCAACCAAGTGATTACGATCCCAGGCCATATTCAAGGCAGTTCTAAAACAATGGAGAGCTCTACCAAATCCCGAATTATTTTTATAAGCAATAAACAATGTCTACGAGTCAATACTGAAAAACCTCTGGAAACATTTTATATCTTAAAACTTTTGAAAGTCGTTTAAAAGTGTATTGAACTTCTTTAAACGTATTAAAATTTTAAAACAAAGATAAAATCGTTTTAAAGAATTTTAAATTTTTGATATATATACATTTCGGCTTGCCGAAGCTGGCTTTCATTTTTGCTAAAAATGAAATGAACAAAATAAAAGTCTGAGTAATTAACGCTGTATTTGATGAAATCCGATCTGAAGCAAGTGCCGAAATGGGGAAGCAATTGGCAATTGGCAATCTTTCCGAAACATGTATAAATGTTTGCTGGCTTAAAAACTAAGTTAACTGCCACAGCCAAACCGAAAACACAACTGGTCAAAACTGTTTTTAGTATGGAAACTGCGGCAGCGGACAATAGAAACTTAAAAACCTACACAACTTTATGCTTTAATATTAGGTGGGACGCAAACGTTCACTTGCCACCGGCAGTGAACTTGGAGAGCTTTTCCAGCAGGCCAATGTAGGAAGTGTGCTCGTGGGCTGTGGCCAGATCGGACAGCTTCTCGGCGAACTCCTGGCTAATGCCCTTCTCCTCCAGCAAGTTGATCAGCAAGTCGTACAAATAACCGTCGAGCACGTCGCCGGCGACGGCATAGACCTTGTCGTTCCACTCGCCCTCGAAAATGGCCATCTCATCGATGGAGAAGATATCGTCTGGAAGGGATTAAAGTGTTATTTATGGGTAAATAGGTACTTATATGAGGAACTCACTGTACTCGCCCTCCTGAGCTTCGCCCTGGAGGAAGGTGCAGGTGAAGGAAAGTGTGGAGTTGCCTTTAATGATGTCCACCTCGAACTGGGGCTTGCTGCGCATCTCGCCCAGCTCCGGCTTGTCGGCATTCGGATTGATCTCGGGCTCCTCCTCGCTGTCCACCGAGTGGTTCACGTTGAAGCTGACCACCACCTTCTCCTTGTCCGTCTGCTTGGTGAGCTCTACATCGGCGCCGGTCAGCTTCACGCTGAATCCATCTAGAGTGCTGGGCACTGACTTGCCCTTCTGGACCTTGCGCTCGGCAACGATCTCCTCGGTGAGGAACTCCACCAGCTCCCGCTCACCTGGGAATTAATAATTTATTAAGGATTGCTTGCCATTTCGTCACCCCACGTTTGAGGTTATGTAACCGGAGGAGCGCCCCCTTGTAAGACTGTTTTACTGAGATAACCACTCACATTTGGTGTGCACATTGCAGCCGCAGGTGCAATTGATGCTGGGCTTGTGCAGATTCAGCACGGTTACATGATCGGATCCTCCTTCTCCGGCGGCCACCGGCTTCTTGGTCATGTGCCACAGGCTGCGGGTGAAGTCGCGCTTGCCCAAAGCTCCGGCACTGGAGCTGGCCAGGCTGGCGAAGCGCATGGTGGCTGTCCTCAGGCTGTTCATCTTGTTATATAACCGCAAAAAGGTCTTTTACTTTAATTAAATAGAAAAATGTGCAGCACGCCGACTGTGGTAATGCTAGAGTGACCGTTGTGTCAGAATACGAAAATCCGTTAAGCTCCGATTATCGATTATTTATGGCGGACAGGGCGTCTATCGATCCATACCTTATTGACTATTTAATTGATGAAACATAGAATAGTAATTTACTTTTAGCTAAAAATAACTAGTCATGAAATAAAGTCAAACCACAAATAATATAGAAAATAAAAAAATAATATCTAATGCATGTATTTACTCACCAATAACCAAGTTTCCCAATCAGTTAAAAAACACTCGAGCTTATGAAAAATGACGACTTTATTAGATTTTCGAATTGCTTATCGGATGTATACAACAATATACACAGAACAAGACATACACAGTAATAGAAAACTAAACACCATTTTGGGTTCTCTGGTTTTTCATCCTCCAAGCGGAAGACCCTCGTACACAATATTATCATGCATGCAATCAGACTTTCTCGTCATATATATCATTGTTTTTCAACCAAAAGGCATTACATTTCTTCTTTATAAAATTTCAATAAAATCTATCACAATATGAGAATTTTATCTTTATATTACTTTTTTTGTAAGGTTTAAAAATATTTTATGTGTAGTTTTTTTCGGGTTTTTCGGCTTTTAAGACTTTCTTAGTGTAAGTTTTAGACATTAGGCGGTAGACATGCATATAAAAATATATTAATTACGATGAAAATTGCATTTTACACGTTTTAAATAAAAATTGCCATTGTACATTGTATTATGCAACTTTTCCAGTGGGACGGACAACAGCTTAAAAGTTAACATAAAAATATTAAAATGCTGATTTACTTTCATTGCCAAGCTCATTATTTTTCATGCAAAGCTTACAAGTTTAGCGTTAAGGCCTAGATTCGACACGATTTTATACTATTTATAAGGCTTGATGTTGTTGCAGATTTCAAATTGTTTCCTCTTTGTTGTGCGTATTTTCATCATGATGATGTGGGGGCTGCGGTGTCAGTTCATATCAAACAGCCTCATAGAAGTTTTGTTCGTTTCTTAGCCTAGTTCGTACTTTTAATTACATTCTATGTTCAATTCCTTATTGAGCTTATGTTAGATACAATTTTACGCTTTTGTTAGCCACAAAGCATAGAGCTTTATAAAGTCCATGTCGCATTTTGTTAGTTCTCCACAAACAAACTCATATAGAAAAAGTAATCATTCAGTCTAACAAAATACTTGTAGAATATTCGATTGAATTTCGAGAAATAATTGGGGCTGTGGGTCTGGGATTTTCAACCACGAGCTGATCGGGATCGATTTCGGTATGTATGATATGTGTGTTTAAATTTGTACAGCTCTAATATTTGCACTTAACGATTATACATTTAGAGTACACATAAGGGGCGACGACACCATTCGGGCTGTCTCGCCAAGGGCAGGCACTCCAGTTTTGGACAGCAGAGGTCGACGTCAGGGGAATGCGGAATGCTTCTGTTGCCCCAGGTAAGGCAGCCCGCTTACTATGTTGTCAATAAATTTAACTAAATTTTGCCAAACAAACTAAACTTATACAAATTTTACATCAAATTAAATTACAATACATGCTAAGTAAAAAAAGATGCAACAGCTTCTGCGTCCTACTTTTCAGACGCGTTTCAAACGCATCCGACACTGTCGACCATTAATTCATTCGCGGGTTGGGTGGGGGGTTACTATAACTAACAGCAACATAAACAACGAAAATATGTTTTAGAGTATAGAAATTCGACTAATTTTGCAGTTTGCTGCCATTGCAACCCCACTAGATGTACGTGCGTTTCACTTTCGTCAGCGTGGACGTCTTGCAGGGCAACTCTTTTTCCAAATGTTCCGTCGAGTTTTTGCACTCGTGACTGCGATCCTTTTCAAGATCCAGATTGGGTGTCTTTTGTGTTGTGGTGTAGGCATTAGAGCCCATCAAAAGATTTATATCCTTGCCAGTATTTTGATGTTTATATGGTCTGTAAGGTCATTAAATTAGTGTTTCCCATAAGGATAGAAAGAAATAGTTTTACAAATCTACTTACATTGGCTTGCCGAAATGATTGCGATGACTTTCATCCATTTGGGCCTCCATTAGGCGACTTTTTGCCTTGACACAGAATATCCCGGCACTGCCGCCAATCAAGAAAGTGATGATAACAATAACTGTGAGGAGCAACAAGCTTGGCGTCGAAGCATGTTTGATTTCATCCACAGTGGCTGTTGATTTTTGGGGATCTGTTAGAGGAAATCATTAATTAGAATTGCCATCATCAGAAAAAGTATAAGTTAAAACACTTACCATTCAAATTGGGCATAAGATCGTCAGGATCCATGGACGTAAGTGTGATCTTGTTAAGGCCAAAGTCATCACCACCAGTTGGCTGCTGTTCCAAGCTCGGCTGACTGACCTGCGAGGCCCCCACATTGGAGTACAATAGTTTCTGCTCCTCCGTCGGCGGTGGAGCCATGGTGACAAAGCTCACCGTCTCCGCTCCTGGTCCATCGCGGGGAATGTGGGGACACAGCTGGGCAGCAGATTTTTTGGTGCTGTTCAAGCTCTGCAGGTAGGTCTTGGTACCAAACTTGTGTTGACTAATGGCCAGGTTCTTGCACTCGTGCGTCTGCAAATCCCAGGCGCATATGGGGTCCTGGAGGCTCAGGCAGCCCAAGCAGTCAACAATGTGGGTGCAGTGGTGCAGGGGCACGCTGACCAGGCTGCCATCACTGACCACCACCAGTGAGTTCTTCGAAGTGGAGATCACCAGCTCCCGCACTGGTGTTCCCAGTGGCAGCACCTGCATTTCCGATATGACCACCGTCTTTAGCCGATCCACCGTCGAGTTGGGGTGCGTGGTAAGTATATTGATGAACTTGGTCACCTTGCCGTCGTCGGTGCCACTGTAGATTACATCGTAGTAGGCGCCGCTTAGCGACTTAACCTGCGGATGGACTGCAATGGCCGTGAGTCGGTGGTGCAGATTCACCTTGGTCAGCAAAGGACGTCCGTGCACTGCCGGCACAGCCTCCTCCATCAATGGATGGTTTTTAATAAAGTTAACAGCGATGCTGGTAAGTGTCCTTGAATCCTCTACGCACTGTCCTGGTCTTGGCTTTGGAACCTGCTCCCGGTCCACCGGCAGCCAGTGTGACTGCGAATCTTTTTGCGACTTGAACTCTCCATCAAAGGCGGCTAATATGTCATCCACATTAAAGGCGCAAACTGCCGAACCCGGAATGGCATTCGCAGAGGTGGTAAATACGGCATAGACCAGCGACTTGGAACCGCTCTCCACAATCGGACTAATGGCCTCTGTAAAAGAAAAGTTTATAAATAAATAAATACAGAATGGTTTGGGCCTATTTCCACTTACGGATTTCGTCAAAGTAGAAGGGAAACTCGCCGGGCACCGAACAGTTAAGGCGTGCCTTCAGGAAGGAGGTCCAGCTCTTGCCGTGGTTGTACGGTCCGCCCCGGTCGTTCTTGCAAACCCTGGCCACTCGCGAGTAGACGGCCTTGCCGAAGTTCATGAAC